AAGCCAAATGATAACGATGGAGGGATACTTTGGCTCAAGAAAGGTATGAAAAATGTAGGACCAGGGAGTGGAAGTATTGCTTGAATTGGCTCCACAGTTCGAGGTCTTTCAATTTCGGATGAGATGGAAGGAGTCCTTATTGAAGGAGAGGGCAGAGTAGCTGCTGCTGGAAAAGAAGAAATACAAAGTAATGTCAAGTCTCAGTATCAAGAATTTGAGAAAGGAGAATAGAGGCACGAAGGAAATTATTGGTTTCACAAGTGATGGCTATGATTGGAGAGCTGCGAAGAGTATAATGTCTAGCAGTTTGTTGTTTTCTTGCAACTTCTCTTTGGAGTGCATCAGCAGTAGCAGCTTCATCCCTAAGCATTTGCTGTTGCCTCGTCTTCTCAGCCCTCTGAAATACAATAAGTTCTTTGGAATATTCTGTTTCCACTGCTTTAGCAAATGCTTCGTGAATGGGGTCTCCAGTGAAATCAGACAGAGAGACATTCATTTTCTTCCTTCTCTTTAAGGGTGTCTCTTGCTCTTTTTCTATCTCTTCTTTTTCTGCTTCTACATAAACCTCAGATACCTCATCTTCAAGGTCAAGTAAGAGCTTTCTTTTCCTTTGTTGTTGTTGTTTCTTCTGTTGTTATTGTTTGCTCCTAAGAAGGTTTAAAGCTTGGACTTTTTGGGGAGAATCTCCCTGAGAGGCACCCGCACCACCTAAATCAAAGAAAGAGTTATTAGTAAAGACAAGAGCATCATAAAGGAGAAGAAAAGGAAAGATACAAGCGTATATACCTTTCTTCGAGGTAGCTCGAGTAACTCTAGAAGGAGTTGAGGCAGCAGGAAAAGACTTTGTGGTGACAGGGGCAAGAACTGAAGAAGTAGGAGCAGTGGAAGAGGTAACAACTCCAGCCCCTTTAAGCTTGGCTTGAGGTACATCCAATACCATTAACAGATCTTGAGGGAAAATGGCCAAATGTACCTCCATATTGGCCATCTACCAATTCTGGCATCTTTTTAGTATATTGCTTTGAGGTATGAAGGGGAAGTACTCAGAGTCAATAAAATCCTGGATGAATTTGAAAGTTGCTTCTTCCAATCTAGATCTTCGAACCTTCAAATCCCTGCTGGTAAGGCTTAAATTGGTTTGGCTACAAAGAGGTATTGAGACTCTTTGTGAGAAGCCAAATTGCCTGGCAAATTGGGCAGGACAATAGGGCTTAGCAATGCATTTGTAAGCTCTAGGGTTCATAGTCTCGATGAATAATTCTCTGGGAATCAGCATAGAGGCCCAAATGTCTTTATGCTGAGGTGTAGAACAAGACCTATCACTCAAGAAGGTCCTCAACCAGGATGGGCCAATATTGGTAGGTTCGAAGGGACGGAAGCTGTGAGAAGAAGGGGAAACTGGGAGCTTGTGGAAGAAAGAAAAGTAAAAAGCAAAAGTGGAATGATAGAGCGAAACCTTGGCTAATTTCATGCCATGAGTGGTAGGATTTGGTTCCAAAAACTTTAAGCATTTAGACTGTAACTCGGTAAAATATGCAAAAAACCAAAGTTGAAGAATCCAAAATAGACCTCCTTGATTGGCATCCAAGGGTTTTTCACAAAAAAGCAAGCAAGCTCTATAAACATGGCCTAGAACATATGGAGCTAAGGTCACCTTTCTTTGTAAGACAAGGGCTTTGGCAAGAGGGGCAAACTTAAGCATGATCCTCTAAGAAGAAGTACAGAAGAGGAACTTGCAAAGCCAATATAATATAAAAGAAAAGAATTCCTTATCTGTCACAAGGCCCTTTCTTTTATTCTCAGCCTTGACAAAGTCACTATAGGATGAGTTAAGAGAGGGGAGGGAAAAAGGGGTTTTGAGGTCAGGATAATCTGGACCAATAGGGGTGCCAGTAGGGAATAATCCTAACAGATGGCAGATATCAAGGATAATAGGAGCCATCATCCCACATCTAAACTGAAAGAAATTAAAAGCAGAATTCCAGATGCAAAGGGCAGCAGGTATTAAAAAAGGGTCTTCCGAAATGGTAAACTTGGATAATTGAAGGGCGTCGAAGAGGCAAAGCTCCTGAAGATCCAGTGTCCTATCAGGGACGACTCGGTCATACCATTATTCCCACTCTGGTCTCACTGTGGGCCAGTAATGATGGGGTCGGTTCACCCTCCAGCTTCCCCAATCAAGACCACCTTCGTAAAGGAGACAATGATCTTCTAGATGTGGATACAGAGCTGGAAGCTCAGTGGGAATCTCCCTAAAAATGGGCCCAAGTACATACTCTTGTTGCTCATGACGACGAGGAATGAAGATGCATCTGTCAATGGCACTTTTCTCACCAGTCTTGTACTTCTCACACTCCTCATCAATAATCCTTTTCAAGGCTACAGATGGACTCGCACGCTCCACAACCAGTATTTTCAAAGAAGAAGACTCCATTGGTAACAAGTAGCAAGGAAGAGAGGGTCAATAGAGATGAAAGGTTTGTGTGTTAGGCAAACGAGTGAATTCAAAGCACGAAATAAAAAGGGTTTTTAAACCTTTGTGTCTGAAAAGATACCCAATCGTGGAATTCATAAAGAAGTACTAAAAATACGGATGCAAAAAGTTTTCTTCAATATTGATGGTTATAGAGGGAAACGCATCTCAAATACCGATGTCGGCTTCGAAATAAAATATTTGGCTTCAAAGCCAAATTTTGGCGCCAAAATCAGATAACAAACGACTTCGAAGGTAAGAAATTGACTTCGAAGCACATTCCATACCTAAGGATGCAAGAATATTCAAGTATTTGTTTACTGCAAAAAGATTAAGGACCTGTTTTTAGGTTTCCCAGTAAGAGTAAAATCCTTCGAAGTAAAACTTGAAATACCTTTAGGTTAGAAACTATTTGTTCTAAGTTTCAAACTAATAGTTGGTTTGATAATATACAGAAGAAATCACCTTTTTAGAATAAAACAGTGCAGTCCTTAAAAGAAGTTTACATATTTTGGAAAATGTAGACTGTTTGTCTGAAACAAAATTAGTTGATTTAAAATTACTTGATTGTATTAACCACATGTTGGGGAATTGAATATGATCAAATCAAGTTTCGAAGGGCAAAGTTGTTAAATCCGAAGCTGATAGTTGAAGAATTATGTTAGGCTTAGGGTCGGTTTGTGAGATGATGATTGTTTTATTAAAAGGAAAACTTCACACTTCAAAAAAGTATAAGCTGAGATGGAATTAAAAAACATCAACCGTACAGATTAAGTTAATTTGATTGGTAAATCAGAATCTGACAAATGAAATTCGGAAAACTTAGTTATATTGATAAGTATTGTTTCATTTTATTACATTCTCAATTTCATAGAAATATGGAATGGACAAGGTGACAAGATCATGGAATTTAGTCCAACAAAATTCAATAAATGAGTACTCTTTCCTTACTCTATCCTCTATCTTGTCCTGGTTAGGTTTATCTAATTGGTAAGCCCTTAATTGAGAAGTGAGTTGTTGGGCCTTCACTTCAAATTCTATCTGTTTTAAGGCTTTATCTGTGGCGTCCATCTCCTCTTCTTCATGCACTTCGTTCATTGCAACATCCTCCCCATACTTAGAATCCGAGCTCCTGAAGGCCTCCTATTCATCAAGGAGGTTCTCTGCCTTATATTGAATCTGAATTTGAGCAGAGAAGGCTTCATCCAGAACTTCACTGGTGATGGAAGCCTGGAAGTGTCAGTTGAGCAGGAGAGGAAGTTGGTCCAAAAAGGTATAAAGCTCTATTTGGGCCACATGATTGAGAAGATGACTTCGAGACATGATGTCACAGGCCCATAGAAAGTTTTTGTGGGGAATGTCATCTCGAAGGACTTCAAAAGATAAATGGGAGAAAGCAGCAAGTAAGGTCTGAGCTCTAAACTGCTGATAAGGAGTTAGAGGCACCGGGGCCTGGTAGGGGGTGAAGTATTGGCCCTCAGAGAGAGTAAGTCTCAATTCATCAATCTAATTTGGATTAGAAGGCAGAGGAGGAGCAGTCGGAGGTTCCCTGATTGAATCTAGGAATTCAAGTCTGGCCACACATTCTAGCCAATCGGAGGTATAAAGTTTTGCTTTTTTGGCTAAAAGCGCAGGACTGATTCCTAAAGCTTCACCAGGACGCTGGACACTTCGAACCATCCGAGATGGCAAGGTAAAAGTATACCATGATGAAAGCAGATTGTCCTCAAGACTGCGTATGTGGTCAATAGGAACATATGGATATACTACAGAACTGCGTTTGGAATGAGGGATTTCAAGAGGGCCATCGAATTCTGGGAATCGATGATGAATGCGTTCCCTCGTCTGAGGTTAAGTAGGGGTAAGCCAAGGTCCCCAGCTAGAGCTCGTAGAAGAAGAAGAAGCAGCAACTTCATCCCATGCGGAAGGCTTTGTTGCAGAAGAAGAGTTTCCAATATCCATGATTGCAAATTTGTGCTCCAAAGAATCATAAGCAGTAGGTTCTTGGTTCGAAGGCCGGTGATTTGCGAAAGCTTCCATAACTTTTATAAATGGAGGTAGATAAAGGTGGCTAATCAATGCATGAAGGTTCTTTCGAGGACGAACAGCATCATCAAATAACTCTTCGTATGCTTGATCAATGTAAGAGGAGATTGGCTTGGCCATAAAAAGATGTATCAGTCTTTTCGAGTACTGAGATAGTGGGGATGTTCAAGGATTAGAAGAGAATTTAATGCAAATGTTTCATTGATGAATGATGGTTGCATTTCTGAAAAACGTAAAGCCCATGCACGTTCTAAGACGTGGGTAAAATACCTTGATCCACTAATATCACCAAGTATTGGGTATATTAGTGCGAGGGGTAATGTTGGCTACATATTTTGTATAAGCTAATCACAGTTCGACATGTGGCAGGATGAGGGCAATATGGGAAGACAATTCAAATCTTCAATCGTAATCACACACGTGACAGTTAGTATTGGTTATTTTGGATCTGCATAGCACTGGATTAGCAAAGAGATACAAAATGACGTGGCTTCAACGGTTACTCATATTTAAATTCAAAATCAAGAGGGAAGTCTAACTGTAGATATGACATAGTGGAGCCAACATATAGGCAGCATGATCAGTGATCATGGAAGGATGATTCGACAGTTAGAAATGCATTTCGACAGTTGTCATTGAGAAGTATAAATAGTAGAGAAGGCCCCAGAAAGAGCTCCAGACTCAAATCCAAAAAACCAATTTTACCTACTTTATTTTTCCTTCCAGTTTTTACATTTCTTGTTCTTTACATTTCTGTACTTCAAATTCCTGTACTGCATTTCGTTCATAGGAGTAGTTTTAAGTAATTTGTTGTTGTAAACCTCTACGAGGTTGATTTGGATCTTTGTAAGTCTTCCATTTCACTTAATGAAATGTTACAATTGTTCTTCATTTAATTATTGTTTACTTAATTCTCCTAAACAAAGTCACCAGTAAAAGTCCTCTTCATTGAGGCTGAAAGAACTAAAACACAATCGTCTGATAATTTGTTGGCAATTAATATTCTATAAGAACTAATTGATCCTTGCTGGCACACTCACAATTATAATAATAACCTTCGAAAGCTAAAAAAGCCAACATATAAGTTCAAATTATCGATACGAATTCAATAAATTCATGCGGATTCAATAAATTCACGCAGCTAACATTACGGTCCAGTCCAATTGCGAATTGGATACAAGCCATACCCTTTTAATTTCTCTCCGATGGTGTTAGTTTTATTGTCATTGCTCAACCAAAAACTGTGGTGCCAATGAGGCTCAAATAAAGGTTCATAGCTGATTAAGATCCTATGTGAGGTTATGCACAACCACTTTATGGTTGGAATGTTAAAGACATCTTAGCTGAGATAACATACACACAATCCTCCTAACCAACTATTTTACCCTATATGAGTTGAGATCTTTTGCTAAGTATCTGGACCACATTACTATAATTGGATCATGGGCCCATATTTTGGAAAGCAACCCAAATGCATACACAGTGAGAATTATAAAAAGATAAGCAAAATTACTAGCTAATTATATTGATTGGAGTTATTACCTAATAAACTTTGAGTGCTGTTTTATAAATATATTAATTTTGAAAATTGAATTTTTTATTATTGAGAATTGTTGAAAAAACAGGGAGTTTGTTTTGAGGATGATGTGAATTAAGAATTGTGGGTTAATGGGTGAGTTGCGATGGTAAAATTGAAAATGTGAACCTATTAATTTAGAGCAAAACTTGTTGGGTAAATAGAGATTGGCTCATAAATCTCTCAAAAATAAATAGGATTTGGCTTCTCTCAAGTTGTCATCTCAATTTGAGAGAGCGTTTGGATTTGGTAAGCCATTTTGGAACCAATTTCGATAATCCAAACTGTTCATTTTTTAGGACTCATTAAGTAAAATATTCATGCAAAAAATCAAAATGATTGGATATTGGTAGCTATATGTTTAAATTATATTTGTTTTTAAAAAATAGACTATAAATATAATTTCAATGATAACTATCTATTTTTTATAATATAAATTTGATTAAAAAATATAACTACCAATATCCAATCTTGATTTTTTGCATAAATATTTTACTTAATAAATCTTAAAAAGTAAACGGTTCAGATTGCTAAAATCAGTCGTAAAATAGACTTGCCATACTCAAATGCTCTCTCAAATTGAGATGACCAATATTAGAGAAGTGGAACCATAATAAATATTGTTATAGTAGATAATGGATGGTATTATATTCTATAGATAGGTAGTGGTCCCACATTAAATTATTAGAAGCCTATTTTGGAAAGTGGGTTAAAAGCCACTTCCCAGTTTTTAACCCACTTCCTTCTCTCATAAAAAAGTTAAAAAAAAATTAAAAAAAACAGCTTTTAACCATCTTTCCAAAACACCCCAGAGAAAGTATTGTTTACAACATAATGGAACATTGACAATGCTAACAATTGTAGATCTTATTCAAATAAGATTCAAGAATTCGAGTTGGAGATGAAGGTTTCACTAGTTGTTAATTTAAGGTAACTCAAGTTCACACTACAAGAAAAATCACCTTTGGCGATTAAATTTTTAGTCGCCAAAGGTCCATTTTTAGTCACCAAAAGTCGCCTTTTTTACCTTCCCCGACTAAATTTTTAGTCGCCGTTTTGTCGCGAATAAACGGTCGCAGAAGGTTTTGGCGACTAAAAAGGTTTTAGTCGGCAAAAAGACAGGTCTTTAGCGACCAAAGTTTTGGTCGCCAATACTCAATTCCACTGTTTAAAATTATACATTTGGCGACTAATCTTTTAGTCGCCAATAGTTGATGGATCGCCGACCAAACTGTTTAGTCGCCAAAACAAATACTTTTGGCGACCAATAGTTTAGTCGCCAAAGGTTGTTCGGTGGGAAAAAAAAAGAAGCTAACTTTTCTGAGATTCGAACCACCAACCTTCTACCTTCTAAACCTTTAGCAACACACTCCTTCCACTATACCACTACAACATCACATGAATATATATGCAATATATATTATTTATATACTATATTGACCCGTATTAATATAAAACTATATATATAAATATAATTATTTTTATGCAATATAATTTATGTAAAAAATAAATTATTTACTAAAAAAAATTGAAGCCACTTTTGGCGACTAAATAATATATTTAGTCACCAATAATGTAATTTTGGGCTGCTAAAATATTTTTTAGTCGCTAAAAAAATAAGTTTCGGCTGAAAGTAGCATTTTTGGCGACAAAACCTATTTTTAGTCGCCAAAAACGTCCCCTTTTGGCTACTAAACTGAACTTTAGTCTCCAATTGCCTGTTTTTAGCTACTAAATTTTTTTTAGTAGCCAAAAAGCTTCACTTTCAGCGACCAAACTGTTTTTGGTCGCCAAAACACGTAGAATCGGCGACCAAACTGTTTTTTAGTCGCCAAAACCTATACTTTTGGCTACTAAAAAACCTTTCGTCGCTAAAACCTATACATTTGGCGACTAAATCTGTTTTTAGTCGCCAATAACTATACATTTGGCTACTAAACTCTTTTAGTCGTCAAAAGTGAGACTTTTGACTACTAATTCCATTTTAGTCGCCAATTGTGCTCCTTTCAGCGATGAAAATTTGGTTTTTAGTCGCCAAAACTGCTTTTCCGTGTAGTGTCAATTGGACTAAGTTAGGTTGTGATGTGTTATCATTATTTTGTTAATAAATATAAATGATAAGACCTATTAAACTAATATAATGATAACATGTGAGATAGTATGTCAAATAGGCCTCGAATTTGCCTCGACAGCATTTTTTTTTTTTTTTGGTGGTGGCTGTGTTAGTTAGTTAATTTTTTTATTTGTTTTTTTTTTTAAGGGTGGTTTATGTGTAGGAATTTGTCAAAAAATTAGACATTCCACACTAACTCGTCGTATAAAATTATATGAAATTAACAAAATTTAACCAATAGCTTAATTGATCAGTCAATTTTATCACTCAACCAGTCCAACCTAATTGACTGATCAGTTAAGCTACTAGTTAAATTTTGTTAATTTCATATAATTTTGTACGATGAGTTGGTGCGGAATGTTTAGTTTTTTGGCACACCCTTACACATAACCACCTTTTAAAAAAAAAATAAATACCAAACCAACATAACCCAACAAATAAAATAAAATAAAATAAAATAAACCAACATAGGCCAACAAATAGAAGAAAAAAAAAAAAAATCAGCCTATGTAGTTTGATAAGGTGAGTGAGTTGGGTTAAACTTTATCAAACCATACAGGTTGAGTTAGTACGAGATGTCTAATACACATAACCACCCTTGCAAAAAAGAAAGGAAAAAAAAAAGATAGAAAAAAAAAAAACCAAACACACAGCACAAAAAACAAAAAACAAAAAAAAAAGAATTTCGAGGCAATTTCAAGGCCTCAAATTCGAGGCCTCAAGCATTAATCATGATTTTTATTCAACAATGCATAAAAATATTCACAACTTTGCATAAAAAATACAAAACATAAACAAGGCAGTAGAGGGACAAAAATAGAAGAGCCAAGATATTACTATGAAAAATAAGAAACAGAGAAAGCCAAATGCACTCACTGAAGACCATCGGTCACTCCAGTACAGGCTCATATAGTTGAAGGACCTAAGAAAGAGAGCCCTTTCTTGTATTCTCCTTAGAGTAACATGTTAAAAGTATCATGCAAGTCCTTGTGCCTCTGTAATTTGCAATAAATTTCAAGAAACAAAAAAAAAAAATGCTTTTTTTATAAAAAAATTACCTCAGGGAAACTTTCCTAAAACATCGACGTAACGTGTCTTTGCCACATTGTTATTGTTTTCAAACACCTTTAAAGCATCATATCCTGACCAATTGATATTTTATATATATAAATATATATAATGGTATTGGAAAGAAAATTATGAGATGTAAAGAAAGACTAACAAAGAGAAGATGATAACCTCAATTACCTTCAAAATCTAACAAACTAAATCATGTGGATCACAGATTCATTTGCAGTTAGTCAAAATCAAAAAACAAAACATGTAATCGAGTCCACTTAATTGGTACACAAGACTTAGTTTGGCTTTGCCATGAATTGTGTAAATTCTACCTTATTTTGTATATATGGTTGTCTCTCTCTGTCTGAGAATTGAAGACAATCACACCTACCTAGCGAATCTGACCCAATCACTTGAACCCATTTAAGCCAAAATTCTATATTCAAAACATACAAGCAAACTCCATAAAACACAGTAAATTGAACTCACACTGACATTGTTCTATATACCATAAAGGAAAAAGAAACAACTATGCAGCAAAATAGACAGATAAAAGTGCAATGGAATGACAAAAAATGGTTTAGTTTAATCATCCATA